TTTTGCTGAATTAAAGTTCAATTTATTCTGGCCTGCTAAGTTTAATCAGAGTTACAGATAAGAAGTATAACACATCAAAGTAACATCAAAAATCCTGTTTTAACATTAAGTTCCACTTAAGCTCTATTGCCAGATGTTTGCTAGTACGTCATTAAATTCCTTCAGAAACATTTAAACAACAAAAAGACCCAGTCTGCCTGAATATAAGGTCCATTCTGATTCAGGCATTACTAGTTTTTGGCATGGAAAGCTAAATAAGCTGTAACATAAGTGAAAATCTAAGGAGAATGTTGAAAGGAGTGCGCATTGTTCTCTCGTCTCTTCTCCATCATATATAATTGATTTTTTTTTTTTTTTTTGGTTATAAATGAGTGGAAAATGGGAAAATGGTGGCCTAATTATTTATTTATTTATTTTTGTTGTTGTTTTTGGAAATAATCTTCAAACAGACCTATTCTCTGTGTCATTTTGAATGAAGCCTATTGGAACTGATGTCACTCCCTATAATGTAGTGTTTTAAAATTCTCTTTACCTTCAGAACCAATAGATCTAAAGCGTGTTAAAACTGATGTCGTAGAGAAATGTTTGAAAGAAGTGAAAACTTGCATTTTCATTTTTATAAACCAAGAACAATCAACTTCCACCAGTCTGGTTTTACAATTAAAACAGTTTTAGAATATTGAAGTTTTCTAATTAACACAATGCTGGCTGGGCTGATTGTCTTAACTGTTAAGATGATTTTTTTGCCATGTCATTTTAGACGTGAGATATGGATTATTATTTGCAATGTAGCACTGTTTAAGCAAAGCCCAGATAAAGAATTATGGCAGAGAGTTGTCTATATAAAACTTCAAATTCAGTCCAAAAGAAACAGGAACAGTACTTTGTTAAATTTCTCTACCTATTTAGAAACTCTACAATCAGAAATATAAGAGAATTAAAACAAAACAAAACAAAAACCAACCATGTCAAACTGATCTGGAAAAGATACATTTGCATCTTTTTCTTTTTTTTTTTTTTTCACATATATTGTCTCAGTACTCTTGCCAGATTCAAACATACATAAATAAATGAATAAATAAAAATAACTATTGCGCAATTCTTCTAAGAGAACTGCAAGAAAAAGATGGCATAATATCTCTTTCTCTTTTAACAATGAAGAAGAAACCACCAGTTAACTGTGTTAGAAAGAAATCACAGCTGATATTTCTCAAAACATAAAAAATAAAATAAATAAATAAATAAAAAGTAACATTGAAAGATGATTCTGCTAATAGAGTTGTTTGTTCATTGGTTTGAGATCAGGAACAATGAAGATATGTAATGCATCATGTCTCTCCAGCCCGATAGAAATTAAACAAAATGAATTCTTCATATCTCATTGGTATTCAGACCTAGGCCAGTAGAAAATGTTGTCTTTGTAGTCTTCAGATAAAATATCTGTTAACAAATATAAGAAGTAATGAAAATCATAGCACCGTAACTTTCCATCTCTTGGACAAATGGTACAAGGAGGAAAAGAAGTAGTAACAATCATGTTTCATATTGATTGCATTGTGACGGAAACAAGACACAGTGATGACATGGAAGCATGGATGTTTTCAGGGCCTACAGGGCTATATAAGAATATATTTTAAACTTTATATTATTATTATTATCGTTGTTATAATTATTATTTATTATTTATTTATTAACCTTCCCTCTGTTCTTATATTTCTGTTTTCTTCTCCCATTAAATCAGAGATTTTCTTCCTGTTCTCTTGTGACCCAATGGATTATACAGTGTGATAAGTATCGGGCTGAAAATGTATGGGCACAGCTAGGTTGGACTGCTGTAATCCATAACAAGTAACACAAATGCAATCAAGAAGAAGTCCCCATTTTTATTGTGATTCAGTTAATGTTAATTCATAGACTCTGGAGAAATTGTACAAAAAAATAATAAAAAAAAAAATCTTTCTGTCTCCCAGAATCAAGGAATGATTATACATCTCACTAGGAGTCTATTTTAGTTAAGAAATCACAGTCTTGGAGGCATTTTCAGATAGTGCACATTGAATGTGATAGAAAGCTTAGGTAGGATGAGGAGAGAGATGGTGGAAGAAATGAGATAAGAAAATTTGAAAAAAAAATATTTTGAGATAATGAATATTATTAATTATAAAAATGTTTTTTAAAACTGTGGATACAGGAAGAGTCATATTGCTTGCTGGGAAACTGCTAGAAAGATAGGCAATTAGCAATATCTCTTTTTCCCATTTTTATCCCTTTTTTCATTTCTCTCAAATGACAAATATATGCAGAAATAAATGGGTATTTTAGGAGCAGAAAAAAAAAGGTTTCATTTTTCATTTTAAGAACGATATTTCAGTATTTGAGTTAGAAATCTGACCTCTGTATGCAGTAAATGGAAAGATATTCTTAACTTAAATAGTTAAAATTAGTCTTTGAAACACTGATGAAACCTGGGTATTAAATATGGCCATACACACTGCTACTAAACCGGGCCTCTGAAGTTATAAACTACCAAATGTACCAATCATTCGAGAATGCAGATTTTAATCTATTACTTAGAAAATTAAAAGTATAAGGAAACCATAAGTTAAAAAGCATTACTAATAAAAAGCATTACTAATTTCACCTTAGAGATTCTTTTGCCTTCTTTTCCCTTCCTTTAGTTGGATGCATTTGAATAGCGTAAGTGGCACATCACAAAAAAATCCATTCTGATTGTCCAATGCAATAGTATCTGTTTATCTTTCAGTCTGTTCAGAAAAGTAGAATGAATCTGAAATGGCAAATTGTCACCAGGTACAAAACAAACAAACAAACAAAAAAAGACTGTGTTAATTGTGTTAATTAACATTTATATTGTGCCTGCTAGTACAAATGGGAACACTAGTAGAACAGGAGGATCAAATAGGAGGGCACATAAACAGTGTAAGACAGTCAAAATGAAAGGATGATGTGCGAAAATATTTTAAAAATATCTATTGTGTAAAAACAAATAAAATATACATAATAAAGTACATAAAATAATAAATAATAAAATACATAAGTTGAACTTTCATAATTTTATCATTTTGTTTTTAAATAAACCAAGCTATAAGAAGATAAGAATGTCTTAATTCTTCTTTGCTTTTTTCCCCTTGCATTGTATAGCTTTCCAACCTTAATAGTACTTGGCCACCTCCTTTCTTTGCTTCCTAGTGGAGCAAACATACCTTCACACTAACAATCTGCAGCCTGTTTTCACTTTATGAGTGGAAATACAAGCTAGTAAGAAATCTATTGGACCAAAATTCAAGAAATTGAATGGCAATTCAGTTGATGTCATGATGTTTGTTGGTTTTGTTTGTTTGTTTGTTTTTCAAAAACCTTTAAAAAGTAGGACTCTCAAATGTATTTTATTTGTTATCAATTAAAGAATTAAATTAAAAAAATATATATATTTTCTCTACCTGGAATAAGCTCTGGCAGAATCATCTGTTAAACTAAGCTCAATGTTATTAGCCTGTTTAACAGCTACTTTCATTCCTATGACAGGTTGGATGAGAAACTCTGAAACTGAAATCCACTTTTCTCATTAAAGAATAGTGTATTAGTGTCTAAAAAGCAGTTAAACACAAAACATTTGATATTCATTACCATTTATCTGCATTTATCTGCCTAACAAAAGCAAATTCAGTCCTCAAGCAGTAATAAAATTTTACGTATCAGATTAATTCCTATGACATTCAGTGAAGTGTCCTGTGAACTTTAGAAGAAATTTCACTAAAATAATTCAAGTAAATTGCAAATGAGTTCCTACATCTGGCTTGAACTCATCTATCATTCATTGTAACATGAATAAATGAAGACATTCATCACAAAGCACGCAACAGAAATTGTGTTCTTCTATTGATATAATTAAATACTCATAGAGGGCTAAATGCATAATAGCTTCCAGACCTTTTATTTCATGCCAGAATTCAATGGCTCCATCCTCATATGTTCCTAGTCAGAATCATTGTGAACCCTCTCCAGTTTCTAAACATTTATTGCTGGTGCAGTAATAATAAACATCTTGCATTTATAAAATGTAATGTTGCCTAGAATTTTTCATTTTTCAAGAATGTAGATCACACTGTCTAATGGCTCTCATATGTCCAGCATGCCCATGAACAATTTGTCTTCTGAGTGGAGTGTTAATCTGACACCTCAAGGACAGAGCTGGTTTCAAGAAGACTGAGAAAAACTGGAATATTTCAAGTGTTGCAAAAACTACTGTAAATCCAAGTAAACTTATGCTGGGATTACTCAAAGACCTGGATTATATTACATCTGCCTTACATTCTTTTCTTTCTTTCTTTTTTTTTTTTTCTTTTTCAAATGTGAATTATTAAATATGCCAGTAGATTTTTTTGTTTGGTTGGCTGGTTGTTTTTTGTTTTGTTTTGTTTTGTTTTGGGGGTCTGCCAAAAATAATTAGGATAATTTTGTACCTAATAATGTCATTTAGTGTCCAGTCCTGAACTGGATTTAGGAAAGAGGTATACAATAACACTGCTAGTTTTCTAGTACACTTGGAGAGACAAAAAGTTGTAAATCCAATTCTAACCTATGAGCACAAGCTGTCTGCTGGTCTATCATCAAGATCTTCCTTTTCTGAAAGAGTGAGGGCTGATAAAGGATGACAATGAAGTTCCCATCTAGTTTCTAGTGCCCTTCATTAAATACATTCCACTCATTTCTGTAAGAATTATGTTGATGTGATCAAATATCTGTTTAGATCTATAGAGAGTTGTTCTGAAACAAATGTCCCTGTACTTTTAGGGGTAGTATTTTACTCATAATGATACTAAGCTGAAGAATTAAAAATGCTTCATTTTCTAGATAGAAAATAATAGAAATTAAATTGAGATACAATGAAAATTATATTAAATTAAATAGGAAAAAATCCACCTTCATTACAACATGATAAAACTACACTGAATGAACAATTTTCTTTAGACTTATTTGCACGTAGTCAAACACATATAAACATTTGCTTACCTTCAGGCCCAAAAGTTTAGCCTGCACACAAATTGCTTCATGGGTCAATGAACTGAATCATTTGCTTTACACTGGTTCCTGACAACAACAGAGAATATCCAATTAGATTTTTCCAATTGCTGTCAAATCCTAGAAGTATTTGGATAATGAATAAATGGACAGTTGGCTGTGATATTGTCTCACTCAACATTAGATGGCCACATCATAGAGACACGAGATCAATTAAAGTGCAGATATGTAGCTTATTGTTGATACCTTGTTTGGAATGAGATGAATTTCTACCTCCAAATGCCTGTTTCTCCTCATTGACTGTGAAATGAGCCTGAAGTGACAAGCTGAGATGTAGATGCTTACAAGAAACTGGATGATTCTTGCCTTGCTTCTCCTCAGTGCTGGTATATGTGCACAATATAGACATTGACTGTATTGGATCATCTTGAGTGCTCTGAGAAAGCTAAGTGTTAGCCTTAGGGAGCATTCCTATGTTACTGTCTTATAGAGGGGGGAAGTTCAAATTGTACTCCATTCATGAGTCATGCAGAACTTTCTTTGTTGTTCAGTACAGAATATCCATTTTATGGCCTTAGGAAATTTCTACCTGGATGGTGAAACTCAGATGCTAGACCATAAAACCTTTTGAAGGAGTATACAACTTTATTCATAAATCTATTATTGAGGGTTTTTTTTCTTTTGTTTGTTTTGTTTTGTTTTCCTATAAGGGAAAAAAGTGCCATAAGATGATTTCTGTGAAGTAGCACGAAATAGATGGATGGGGTGTAACTGAGGAAGTTTTGTTTTTATGGGGTGGCTTGTTTTAATCAGAGGACACAATATTTTAGATTTTGGGCTCTGCTCATGTAGGTAAAGAACGTTTTCTTCACCTTCTGTAAACAATGCATTACTTTCTGAACAGAATTCCGGTGTCAAATATTTTAAATTGATAGGTCAAAGAGAGGCAGACATTTAAAAGTTTATGTCTCTGTTGAAAATTAGAGTTTTATTATAAGATTCAGGTCATTAGTTGTTAATTGAAATAAATTTTCACTAATAACTCTATGAAAAAACTTGAAATTAATTTAGATCTGAGATCCAGGTTCCAGGACTTCAATGGCAAAACTATGTTCCCTGTTGATTGGCAAATGTGTATTTTTAAATTGTTTCAAAACATTTTGAGTGTTTTTTTCGTCTTGGATTTGTCATTTTATCATCCTTTTCTTGCCAAGTCCATTGTTTGGCTAAGAAAAAAGTGTTTATTTGAAGCTCATATTTTGTTGTTACAAAAGAATGATTTGATCTAAAAAAGTCTATTTATATACAATTTTTCCCCCAGAGTCTATAGAATCCAGAAATATGTGCATTTGAATTTTGAGCTTCTAATTCACATAGCTCTCATTAAAGTAAATAGACTTTAATCTCACTGCTACAATGTAATAATTTCTTTCAATAAAATTGCAAGTGTTGCAACCAAATAAATTGTCAAAACATATTGAGTGATGTTTTTAATCACATGTTCATTCTGCTCTTAATTTATCTAGTTACAGAGGTTTTTATTTGGCCTCGTTATTACAAACCTCTTTTCTTTTTTTTTTTTTTTTTTTTTTTTGGTATCAAATAATACTTTACAGAGATCGAAACTGTATTAAGGTGTTGCATAAATGTACCCACTGTAGCTGCAGCTTGGAAAGATTTCAAGTATCACTTCTAAATCACACTCTCATACCATTTATACTTACAATGTCATTTTTGGAATATTTGTTGCTTGTCATGATCTAGCATGACTAGCAAGCAAGATCTTGGATACTCTTGAATCTCAGAAGGGGAATGTATACAGAATAATTAGGTTCTCAAGGAATAATTATATATTCTTTTGAGGCTGGGAAAGGCGGAATTATTCTCACCAGCTTAAAATAATTATGTTTCAGGTTAGATTTTCAAGTAGTTTGGGTATCAACTGTACCAGATAGCATCAGATGTCTTTTCCCAGTAAGGACATCTGGTCATAAAGACTGGCTACAACTATCTGGGATGACATACTGTAGACTAATTGAATGTAAACTTGTTTATTTATTTATTGCCCACTTCAGCATTTAAGATGTAATATTTGTGTGAACTCTTCAATATTTTTCATTTCACTCACCAGAATCATTTCAGCTATCTTTCTATGCCAGCTACAATATTATCAGGATGTTTCCATTTTATTAATACACCATTCATTTCTACACATTTTTAGAGATACCTTGACCAAGCCCCATACAATAAAATTGCCAGTTAATGTTGTGTAATGTAGAACAGACGTGTTACTCCTTATGTTCCTGGTTTAACACAGTACTTGGTGACATTGCAAGTGATTTACACAGATGTTACTAAATATTCTCATTATCGAAAAGGAAAAAGGATTTGCCTAACTTTCCTGAATTTATAGTAATAAATAAATAAACAGATAAAAATAAAACAGTAATCTCTGTAGTAATTCCCTTTCAGATACATTGCTTTATAAACCAGAAGTGTATAGCTATGACATTTTAAGGTCAGTTGCTTTAGTAGTGGGATGACAGCCTTTAACATGAAGAACTGTATGTATTTTGTTTGTTTGGTTGGTTGGTTTTTGTCTGGTTGTTTGGTTGGTTTTGTTTGTTTGTTTTGCACAAGGGTGCTAATTCTGGAACCAGAGAATTTACAAGAACAACTATACAATGTTATACAAACTTTAACACAACTGCACTATGGTGATCTGTGCTTTTATATTTACATCACTTTGCTTGTTCTGAAGCTGTAATTTTAACCATGACCATGAATTATGACCATGAATACTAAGAAATTAAACTTCTTACAACCCCCCCCCCCAAAAAAATACACACATATATATTATATATATATATATATATTTTTATATATATATATACATATTTTGTTGTTTCCAGTGGAGAACTGGGAAAAATGATACTGAAAACATGTATTATTATTATTATTATTATTATTATTATTATTATTATTATTATTATTATTATTTTATTTGGTTTCTAATTAAAAAAATACAGTCATTACCTCTTTTTGGTATTTCAGAACGATATTGTTATAAGTAATAAAAATCAAACTATGTATTTTAAAACTTTGCCTCTAGTCATACAAATTGTTATGTATATCTACAATTACGACATTCTTGAGATTACATTAACCTATCTCCTTAAAAACTGATAATTAATATAATATATATTTTTGTATTTTTACTCTAGAAGAGGAGTGTTTTCTCTGAGTCTTTTAATATCAGGAATTGTATTCATTGCATTTACCTTTTAATATCTGCTGTGAAGGCATCTGCAGTGAAATTAGTAACTGTAGTTGATAATTAAAGTCTATTTAGTCTCAAAATATATTTCGCCAATGGACAGAAATTTAAAAAAAAAAATGAGGAGGAAATAATCATAATTTCAGTTTCATATTTATCCTTTATTGAAATGATTCAATAATGTCTATTTCTCTGTGTAGATTGTAAATTATGCACAACAAGTTTACATGCATATGACTGAATGATACAAATCTACTCTGGTCAACAAAATACTGCCTGGCTTTCCATGAATGATATTGTGTAGGTATAGCCTTTATTTTATTTACTAAAATTAAACAACATTGGTTTTGCTTTCAGTCTCTTTTCCTATTTTGTTTAATTTTTATTCTTAAATAAGGAAGTAAAATCTTGTTATAGTAAGACAACAACAACAACAAAAATCACACAATTGCTTCATTTCCCAAAGAAAAACAATTTAGAGATTAAGAGAAATATTATTTCTTAAATCCTTATTATGCCAGTGTATGTAAGTACACTTTTTCTTACATGTATTTTGCTATCTGTATAACTTTGCTGATATATGTTTGTCATTACCATTGCAAAGATGTTTGAAATGTTACAGTCCAGGAATTAATGATAATAAACAATTTGGGAAGGTTAATAATAATGATATTTGAATTTTATTTCAACCATTTACCTGATGAAGCTATAATTTTTATTATTAGAACCATAAAAGTGGTTCTAATTCAGGAATGAATTAAACTGTATGCACATGGCATATTCTACATTTCTGTATACCGCATATAGCGTTAAAGATGCTTTGGTATTCAATGTATTGATATTATCTAAAACTGAATACTTATAAATCTTCCAGAAGAACATAAATCATTACCTACACTACAGAGAAATGACCTGAACTTTCAATACACGGGCATGGTTTTATTTAAAAAGCTGTTTGAAATAGTCTATTATCTGAAATGTTAATTCAGGCATTTGCTCTGCATTGAAGAACTTACAAGCCCCAGGAGTTCCTAGCCCTCTTCACTCTTAAGGCTACTGTATTTCATTTAGCCTCATTATTTTCAATTACATGGCATAAAAGGGATTTCCAGCATGACACATGGGGAGCAATGGACACAGTTCCTATAAGCACTATTTGCCTGATTGTTGCACTACAAAGACTGGTGTTGGTGGGATCTCTTATGTCTGAATACCTGGTAAGCTTCAGAATTATCTTTCCATTTCCCATCTGTTTCTGTTTAAGTTTTCATGTGTATTAGTGCAATTCTGAAGTTTGTCTTGTTATTTTGACCCAATAGACTCTAATTTACATGAATACAGAACAGAAAGGAGCTTCAATCAATAACTGGAATCAATATAGCCATGAAAATCTGGATCCAGATGCTCTCCACTGTATAGTTATAAAATAAAGTCCTCCACATACAATTAGTGTCCAGTTTTATATCTTTGTCTCTTTAGATCCATTTTTTACTATCCTTCAAGTAAGTTAACCTGCAAAACATTCAGAATTTAAAAGAAATTGACTGAAAATCCACAGAAGGCCTGTACAAGGCCTCTGTAGTATTCTTTTAATGACTTTTGTTGTATATTGGACCCAACTTTCTACAGTTATGAGTCTGTAGTAAAAAAAAAGTTAAGCTTGTTAATAATTCACACCATGTGGACTGAGAGAAAGTTCCTTAAAATAATAAAGCACTCTTGTCTCAGCTTCATAATATGAAAAGGGATATAAGCAGTAGCAAAATAAGCAAATATGTTTCTAATTGTGACC